GTGATGCCTGTCGATTAAGGGTTTTTCCAAAACCAAATAAACTATGAAATAAATAATTTTTTTACATATAGCACATTTTTTTCCCCAAATGGCCTATTTGAACCGAAATCGCAAAATGGTTATAAAAACAAAGAATTTTTCTTTATATTGCTGCAGCTCTGTTTTGGGCTTGTGTCACCTTCTTTAGAGGTCTAGGTGTCACCGGGGCAGAACCCCCCCCTTGCACCCCCTTCGATGCATGGGAGCGGTTCATGGTCTGGGACCCTGGTTAGGTCGCTTCTTTTTTGTTGTTTTGTAGAAAAAAATGAAAGAACAAAAAAAAAAAAAAAAAAAAAAAGGGAGGGGGGGAATGGGAGGAAAGTCTTGGGTGGTAAAAAGGGGCCGTAATTTCTCCCTATGCCCATAGAACCCAAGCCCCCAAGTAGTGCAGATGCGGCGGAGCCTTGCCATACCCTCCCTTATCCCAAAAAACCACCCCAATCTGAAATAGGAACCTCACATTCCCGACCCACCTCGGTGGAAAAAAAGTCCAGAGGTGGTCGGAGATGTGAGGCAGAGAGAGGGGGTGGACACCCCCCCAAAAAGCATACCTCCTTTGCCCCCCGGAATCTGGAAGTAGCCCCCAGAGATCCCCCTGTCACCCGAAAGCCACCCCCCCGGGAGACGAGGGGATCAGGACATCCCCAGGCATCCAGTTTCCAGGCAAACTAACCACCGCCAAGGACGTCAACGGAAGGGATGGAGCCCGGTACCCTTCCCCCTCCCTAGGAACTAGAGTGCCTGGGGGAAAGAACCCCAAAGGTGAAAATGGGAAAGGGGAAATAGGGGAGGGATGGGGAGGAGGAGGAAGGAAAAAAAGGGGGGGATGGGGGGATGGGATAGGGGGGGGGGAAAAGGGGGGGTAATTTGGTTTGGTTGAGGAAGGAGAAAAAAAGGTCAAATTTCCCAGATCATTCGTCTCTAACCCCTTGTTGGAGAGGGTGTGCGCGCTGCCCCCGGAGTTGTTGGTGGCAGTATTATTTTCACCAAAGGGTGCAGGCTCGCGGGCGGGAAAAAAATACTCGCATTGTATTCCAGTGGAGCTGTAAGGGGCCTTCAATGGAGTTGCTTTTGCCTGCAATCACAGAGATACCTACGGAATACCAAAGGGATTTGTGGACTTGCATTGAAGGTACGAAGAGGATTTTTGTAAAATTTGTTCGGGACTGTGTATGAGGATTTGGGAAATAAGTTTAAAGAGGGGGCCCATCCCTTTAATCAGCTGTGAGGGTGAGGCGGGCATGATTGTCCAGTTTAACATGGGTTAAAGTAAGGAAGGGCCCTTCGAGGGGATGCATCTGACATCCGGTTTTATGTGTAAATTGGCCAAATAATACGATCACTGCAGGAAGGGGTCAGTTGGCCATTTTATGGGGATACCTGAGGGTGCTTCTTGTCAAGGGACATCGACACCCAATTCACGTAGTGGTGGGGATTTCAGGACTCGGTTTTTTGTAACTTACGGGGGCAGCGAAGCACTTGCGTTTTGGGGGTCGTATGATCCCTGGCGCGCAATGTGAAAGAAGACGTGGGATAAGGCCCGCAGCAAGGGACGGTGTGGGGGAAAAAAGGAGAGAGGTCAGATCAAGTTTTCGACTCTCCCTCAGCGAGTTCGACTGGAGTGAGGGGGTTTTGAGAGGGCCGAAAAAAAGGGATGGCAGGGGCTACGCGGGGGGAGACTCACTTCCCTGGAGTTGAGAAGTGCTTGATGAGGATCGCGGAAGGAATGGTAGCGAGCGGAAAATTACGTGTGTCGACTTTGAAAAATTTTTTGGGTAATGAGAGCCCTTGTCCGGATGTTGGAAAGACCGGATCTGGGTCTGCGTTGAGGGGGGTGGTGACCCCAAACCCCGGACTAAGTGTGTCGTTAAGGATGCACATTTGGGTGAGAACTGTGGAGGTGGAGGTTCATCGTGGGCTGAGTGGTGACTTGATGCAGGTCGGGGTACAGCGAAAGCGCGCGCAGTGTTTTCGGTTCGACGCGGTTACGCCCGACAAGGACCGGGAAAAACATGGGGAACCCATGAGGAGGGGTTTTTCAAGTGGCGCCCAGGGGCAGGGGTTGGGTAAGGGTGGACAGAAAGGGGGGGGGGAGGGAAAAGGGTGAATGAAAGACAGGTGATAAATGGGTTTTGTGTAAGGGGAAAAACCCCCTTTGTGGGTTTTTTAAGTGCCTGACTTGAACATCAATGGTTTGGGTTAGAGAAAGTTTTTGGGGTTTAAGGAAACTTTTGGGTGCGTCATGACGTTGACTTTTGTGTTCTTGGGAACAAAATTTATAGACGGGTTATGAGTTAAAGGTGGATGGGTATAATGTGTTGTTGAGTTTGCGTCGATTAAAGGAGGTGTGGCCTTTTTGGTAAAGGGGAAAACTACCCCGTTTTTTGTGGGGCACAGTGAGGGGGGAGGGGGAGGGTGTTCGTGGGGAGGGTTTGGGGTCGGGTACAGATAACTTTGGGTGGTGAGGCCCAGCAGAGGGAGATGGAGGATAAAGTAAATTCGTGGGACGTTTGGTTTTTATTTGCGTGGATTGGGGGGTTGCTGTGATGGGGGTGACTGGAACTGTGTGAAAAGGGAATAAGGTGTTGACCGAGGGGGGCGGGCATTGTTTGAGGTATTGGGGAATTTTTTCCCGGGATGGTTTACGATGTTGAGGGAGGTGAGGTGGTGGAGCCCCCCCTTTATTAAGCGTGGGTTGCGGCTAGGTCGTCGAATAGCCCCCAGGACGTTTAAAATTTTACATGTGTGAGGGTAAT